CTTTACAATTGCTTTCACCACTTAAGGTAATTTTGTTCACAGTACATTTCATCATTACCACTCCTTAAGGGCACAACTGTGTGTTCCTAATGTGGGAATGAATTAAACAAATGCAGATTTGTCAAATACACAATTCAGTAAATTATTAAAGGCAGAATTATTTTTATTATCAATTGTGATGAGACCCTCCCCATCACACACACTCACTTTTTTTTTTTGGTTCCCACCCAAGTTTACAGCTGCATGTCAAGCTGGCAGCAGGCTGCATAGCTTTGCCATTGGTGACAGGCGGTTAACGCTAATGTTTTGTAGCCGCTCCAAGTCACCGCAGCCAAATTCTTGCGATGAACTTGTCCCAGAAGCATTGTCAACAACATATGAGCTCATTGGGTGTGTTGGAGAAAACTCAGCGAGCTGCAACTGTTGTCCTAATCACAAATTCAATGCCGCTGCTCTATCTGTCAGTCACAAGCCTGTTTTCCTCCTTGTCAACCTGTAGGTACCCAAAGTACTGCAGCTTTGAACGCTCTAATGTTAAAAACAGCAGTGTTTTTCCTCTTGTTGCTCTAAATTTTTAATCTTTTGCTGTAAATGTGGGGAAAAAAATGGATAAGTAAGTAGAGATGCAATAAATTCTTCAACTCAACACCAAAAGGAACAGCTGTATAAATGCCACCTACCACTTACCCTGCTGGTGCACTCATAGCCCCAGTTTGCCACCCACCTTCCCGTTCCTCTTTGCTACAATGGGAACTCCCTTGAGGGCCCAAGTGAGAGGGCGACTGACATAAAAACACCAAAAGAGCTTTTATCCACACTTCTGCTCTAATTCTAAACATTTTTTGCATTATTCTCATTGGAGTCATTGCAGGAATGTTGAATAGTTTTGTATGTATTACTAAAAAATGAAAAAATAAATAAATAAATAAATAAAAAACAAAGACTGACTTATTTATTTGGGTTTATGAGGTGCATTAGTAGCCTGGCCTGCCAGACTCCTCCTCTGTTTAATTCTGCACAGAGAAAGGATCTGGGAACGTTCCTATTCAAACAACCCCACCGCCTGAGAATTCTAACCGAGCCAATCAGTGCTGAGCAGCGTACGTCACACACCGTAACGCCGAGTTTGTCAAACATGGCGACTGAAGCGAAGTTCGCTGCGGCTCTTTCCTCTGTTCTAAATGACCTCCATCTTTAACCTTTCCAAGATGGCTGACCATGTTTTGTGTGGAGGTGTGAGTGCCTCTTTGTCTGTGGTTTGAAAAACATCCTATGGATGTTAATGAAACTTTCAGAAAGTTATGATGAGATGTGCATCTACAACTTGTCTTTTAAATCAACCCATTCCAAGATGTCTACCACAACCAACAGAATGGAGAAAGCACAAAAATACCTGCAACTCAGTCAGTTTGACAGATCGTTAGCTAAAGTTTGGTGTATTAATGGCCAAGGGTTGTTTGAACTCAACCCAATCTGTGTGTCAGCAAAATATCTGAATGAAACTCTCAGACAGTAATCTTCAGTTAAACATTTACATCTAATTAACTTTTGAAGTCGGTCTAACTGAACATGAGTGCTACAGCTAATCGACCTCCGTCAGGTTTGCAGATATTGAGCTAAACTTTCATGTGGTCGTTGCAGAGAGCCATCCACAGCACCACCGCCAATACACAGTCTATTTTTAAAAGGTCAAAGTCACAGCTTTTTGTTAAACAAAAACAACGTGTTAAGTTAAATGGATGGATCACCTGTCTGCATTACAATGGTACCATCATTGTTTGTTAATTTGTAGAGCACTTTTACACCAGCGGTCATGGTGGCCCAATGCTGTCCACTAAAACAACAAGTTAAAACAGATAAAAACATAGAATAAAAGAACAAAAGGATGAGATTTTATAGTATAGGTTTAAAACAACAACACAGGAACAACGGCCTGACTTACCAGATGACAGAGAGCGAAAGTCTAGAACCCACTTAGATTTAATACTATGCTCATAAATAGGCCATCTAATGTCAGGTGGTTGGTTCCGTAGTCTATGTGCAAACACGGAGAATTCACGCTCCCACCCAAAAAAACCTTCCGTCATGTTCTCAGAACGACCGATAAGTCATGCTCAGATGGTCGCAGGAGTGTGGCTGCAGTGGATTTTGTCACCAGTGAAGAAACGTATGGAGGTCTAGACTCGGAGCAGCTAGGCTAAGCCATCGTCCTTCATTTGGTATGAATATAAATCATGAGACCAAAGCATGGTATGTTTACTGTACTGTAATATTGTTGTTTATCAAAATAACTTTTTTTCTATAAACAAAGACTTTCCTCTGAGTTCTGTTTGAGTTCACTGAAGACAATAAACATCTATTGATTTTCAAATTAACTTCACTTGACTGAAAAGGTCAACACTGGAGGACCTGTAGACATTTCCAGTTGAAGCCATGCCAGACCTGTTCGTATCCATGATGCATGTTTTCACGAGAGCTAAAACTCTGGTGGATCCTCCCATTGACTCTCCTCACCTCCTCATCTCCTGCTTTTCTCACTCCCAGAACATATCCGTCCAAATATTTGAAATCTCAGAGTGCAGAAACCCCTCGACAGGCAGACCCAAGGTGTAATATGACACAGGAGGTGTGTTTATGTGTGTGTGTCCCATGGCATGTGTATGCTGAGTTGTGTTTCCACACCGAGTATGTGTGTGTGTGTCTGGGTGTGCTTCAAACGCCTTCCCTCTGTGGCCCTGAAGGTTTTGGGGTGTATGGATAGAGGTCATGAAGGCAGATGGAGAGGAGGGAAGAGAAAGATGAAAAGGTCTTGTGAAGTGGATGCACTGCGTGAAAAATATAAGTTTGCCTTTGTGACACGAGAGCTCTGTGAGGATGTTTCTGCTCTTTGCACTAACCAGTGTGTGTCAAATACAAACACCGATCTAAAACAAAAGAACGGTTTTAGCACTTTGCTAAGTTTTACATGTTGTAAATTAGAATTATGTCATTTATTTTTCATAACAATATTTATGCAAACAGTAGGTGTACCTATAAATAAATGTCTTTTAAATTGTAATCACATTTAAACAGATGAGTTTAGCCTAAAAGGCCACTTTTGATTGAAGTGTTGTAGTAACTATGGCAGAGAAATAAAAATCTGAGACGTCTGTGGTCAAAATGGCACCAAAGCATAAGTCAACGTTTCACAGAGCTGTAACTGTTATGAAATTTTCAAAGTGTCTCAAAATTTTTAGAAGGATTTTCCATCTCCTTGTGGGATGTGCAGGATCTTGCTCTCGTGTTGACTGAACATATTTCTAGTTAAAGCAGCTTCTCAGTTTGGTTTTATTGATAGAGGAGTGAGATAAATGTGAGGAGACTTTGGGAGGGGTTGGCAAAAAAGTCGCAAGTAAAAGTAATAGGAACTTGGAACAAACTGACATATAATCAAGACACTTTGTGGCTAAATTGTAACAGAAAGCATTGCGAGACGGTTGCATCACATGTTCCACGTGTTTCCGCCGTAAAGCTTATCACAAAATTGTCATTTGTACCAATCCAACTCGAATCCAACTGAAACTTTGCTTATTTTTGCGTAATTCTGATTCTCCAAGAGTTTCAGTTCAGTAAGATGCTGGGAATCCAACAAAAACTGAACATCTACAGACAATGAAGTTTAGCATCTTCAACAATGACTGCAGATGTTTAAGATAACACCTGGCTAGAAGAGGACACAACACATAATTTCTTGATGTCAGATATGGGCAGTGAGTGTGTGCATGTCACTTCCTCAGCTGCACCAATGTGAACTTCGAAGAATATTAGATTTGCAGAGTGACATGTGATCCTTAATAGTGCTGTTGGAGCAAATGTCAGTAACAGTGAGGAGGAAGCTTTGATCATCCAGTCTCAGTAAATTACAGTCCGGTTGTCCTCTGCTAAACTCAGCTGATTTCACTTTAGACTCTTGCTATGTATGTTATTATTATTATTATTATTATTATTATTATTATTATTATTATTATTATTATTATTTTCACTGATGATTCTTTAAATGTCTCGGATAAGTTTGATGAATTTTAACATGAATGTAAAATTAGTTAAGCCATGATCTTATCATTAAACTAATATGCATCAAACACATTAAAACAATGTGTTATGAAAATTGTATTTCTTACTTTTTTTGTGCTAATTGTGGCGAAAACACCTAGAAGCAAACAGTTATGTGTTCTTGAAAGCAACACAAAAATGCTTTTAACACATTAAGGTATTGATTTTAAACTGGTTTCAATGATTTTTGAGTCATAAACTTGACCATCTTCACATTGGAAAATACCCTGTAGCCCTCTGCTGACCTGAAACTGCCCTTTACGGTTTTGTGGTTCAGGCAGGAGCTCTAGTGGAAGGCCTCTACCTGCTTTACAGCTGTTAGCTGGTTACAGTTCTGGTAGCTTATATAAAGGCTAGCAGTTAGCTTTTTCAGTTTGCCAGCTATCAATAAAAAGCAAAAGAAAAAGAAGAATTTTGCTCATTTTGTTGGCATCATGGTGGAGCCTGATTGTATAAGTAAGTGAGTAAAGTCATTGGAGACGAAGCAAAGAGCTAAAACCAGATTGAATGTCGGCACGGCCTACACTAGTTTGAGGAAGCTAAAGGAGGCTACGAAATCACGTACTGATGGTGACCTGGCTTTGTTGCTACTGAACTTGGAAGTAATAATATTTTTACCCAACAGTGTGGATCTTTTACTTTGTGACTTATTTAGTATCAGTTTGCGCAAGTAAGCATTAACTTGTTGTTAGCGCTAGCGACAGCTGTCTGTGACAGAGGTGTTTACAACAGTTGTAATTTCACTTTCCACCAGTGAGAGGGAGAAGAAGTGGGGAACTTATTAAGTGTTGTTTTAATTTGTGTTTTAGCGTCTGTGACTCAAAACAGAAAAGAACAAAAACTAGAACGCTCTAAGTGAGACATCTGTCTGTTAAGAATCAGAAAAGATTCTAGTTTGCTGAACCTACCGTTAGGTGCTGGAAGAGCCATGCTCTCATGATGTTGGTGGCCACTTTAGGAAAAATCCCTCTCTTCTTGTTGTGTTTTTTTTCTTTATCTGGGTCATCGTCGTCCCCCGTGCTCGGCGAAGCCACACTGTTGTCCAGGCCATCACCTGTCATATGACGAGAAACAGGAAGAGACAGAAAAGATCAGACACACACTTTGTTTACTCCCTGCATTTGCTGTGCCTTCCCATTCAAAGGGAATAAATACGATTTTGAAGGAATTCTGGAGGGCTTTGTAGGCACAGACGAATGGGTATAGAAACACGACAATGGCAAGAAGAGAATGGCTGGAAAACAGCACCTCATAAATGCATTCATTTTTAATACATTTATAAATAACCCTGCCTTTCATTTCTACCCCCGTCACTGAGAACACAGTAAGCGCTCGCATCCTTCTGTGGGAAGAAGAGGGGAAAAGGGAGCACAAAGGACTTGTAAGGTCGCATTTCCCCACTCTCCCATCCAAACCCGCGCAGAATTGAAAATGACAGAAAGATTTAGTCTTTATTATCCTGAGGGGAAAATAGTTATTGAAGCGTCGCCCTAGCGCATTCTGCCATTTTACCTGAGGTGGAAAGAGTAACACAGCACTACAAAAGGCAAAGCTGCAAGGATGGGGGGAGGCGGAAAATAAAAGGAAAATATGTGGGAGAAAAAAAGAAGTCGAGAGGCACAAACAGCACTAACAAAGCTAGCTGCTTTTCATAACAATAGCATCATGGCTGCTTACAGCAACCTGTAGGGCTTCGATAAGACTCTATTAAGGCCAGTTAACCTCACCTGAGGGGAACAGTGACACACACACACACAGACACAGACACACACACACACACACACACACACACACACACACACACACACACACACACAGACACACACACACACACACACACACACACACACACACACGCACACACACACACACACATCCTCCCAAGTACTGTACTCATCCTATACAGCTGAGAAACCGGCTCTTCCCATATGTGGCTGTGGAAAGTCTACTTGTGATTATCATTATTCAAAGATTCGAGCTGTTCTCAGTGAAGAAAATAACCAGAACCATGAGGAAAAGTAAACAAGCGGCGCCCTCGTGGCTTTCTGCACCCGACTTGTCCTGCAACACACCTCTGAACTGGAAGTTAGGGGGGAAATATAAAACCCGGCAAAGCAGCGCGCCAAATCGGATCCTGTTATTTATTGATTACACACTAAGCACTTCTAAAGCTTCTTGGTTTATTTGCTGTGGCAAGAGTTGATAACTGCAATGACGCAGAATCACGCTCCACTAACTTCCAGAGGGTGACGCCCGGCACCTTGCTTAACCGTAAGCCCAGGTTCATCGATAATTAATGGGGATGTTGGCGCTAATCCGGTTGGAGATGACTTTTTTCCAGCCCGCCACATCAATGGAATAATCAAGGGCCTAAAACCCAGGCCTTTGCTCCCCATTACCTCAGGCAAAAGAATTCCTGAAAGCATGCCTGGAGGGCACCTGAATTATAGACACCATTAGGAGAGAGCCTCTCAACAAACCATATGAAACAACACACTTGACCAGCTCTCTTGGTTCTGCTCTGGCAGAGGGAGATGCATATGCACACATACTGGAGGTTTTTTAATGAACCTCATGTGGAGGTGGAGGTGACAGTATCAAGGGTGGTGGAGAGATAAAACAGGAGCTTTGCATTGATGTAGCAGCGCTGATGCAAACACCACCCACTGTGCTTTGCTAATGCACACACGAGGATCAAGCTTGTGGTTGGGTTGAGCTCATTCAACTTTTTTCCAGCATTCTCTCATATTTCATCCCATAAAATCTCTAAATTATAAAATGCATTTAAATTTTCCAAACTGGACCTTGCATCAAATCCCTCTTTAGATATCCAAAACCCGAATATTCTTAATTTATGAGGACAAATAAAGGAACAAATCAATACCTGCTTCTATTGCTTAAATTAATTACAGCTGTTGAATGACTAATCCATGAATTGATTTACAATACTGCACACACACAAACACACGCTCACACACACACTGAGTGCCTTCACCAGCTTCTCGGCTTCTCTCTGTCCTGAAAGCAGACTCACATTGCAAGCTTCAGTTACATCATTAGCCTGGGACAAATACAGCCTGAGCCTAACAAGTCAGTTGAGTTTTTTCTTCCTACTGTTTCAGGGCTAAAATACACCCACCCCTCTGTCTCTCTCCCCAGCTGCCTGCTGGAAAAAGTCGGGTGAGCCGAGCCGAGCCGAGGCCCTGTAATCTAAGACCAGATTTTCATTGGAAGCAAATGCTTTCAATCCGTTGTAAAGACCGGCTCATGTTCAGCAAAGCCTACAATAACAAACCTAGGGGCTGGTCCCATGCGAGTTGGGAAAACAGAAGCAAACGGCCGGAGAACCAGCCTGGAAATTGAATGAGTGAGCATGCTATCTCGAGGAAAAGGTAAGGTATCATGAGAAGAAAAGATGAGAAGGAGGAGGAAATGTGTAGATAAAGCACAAACGTATAAAAAAAATCCCCAACTTTTTTTTCGCTTCGTTTTTTTTTATCACTCATAACCCAAGCCAGACAGGGAAACTCTATTTGTTTCTCTTCTTTTCTTTCTCTACACTGACCCAGTCTGACCTATGTGCTCCTACTTTTCCTAGAAGGGGAAAAAGAAGGAGACGGCCCATCAATTTTATTGGCATTTCCATTTTAGGTGCTATTTGATACCAATCACCTCTATAAGGTCTGGGGCTAATTTCTGCTTTTCTCTAACCCCAGAGAGAGAGGGAAGGCTGAGCAGAAAGAGAGAAGAGAGCGAGCTGAGGTAGCAAAGGTGCTGAAGCTGTGTTCAGTCGGCATGCCGAGGAAATGTCAACGGTGTTGCTGCAGCCTGTCAGAGAAAGAGAGGCTGAGGCAGGGAAGGAAACGGAAGAGAGATTAAGGGTGAAATAGTGCAAGAAAAGATGGAGGAGAAGGGCAAGGCGAAGACTCAGAAAAACAAGAGTCGATGCTGTAACTCAAGCCAGGGATGGAGGCAATGAAGGGAGAGAAAATAATAGGAGAGTGGAGATGCAGCAGCATGCAGGAGCTAATCAGATGACAGAAATCAGACACAGAACAGACAGCTATGGGAACCTACAATGTGTTCTTTCTACATGTGACATCTCATTACACACACCCAAAAACTCTGTTCCATCTACTCACACATAACGTGTGGACAGTGGACGGCATAGTGGACTTCTTAAACGACGCTCATCCTGAATCTGTGTCCCAGACTGAAGACTTTATGGAAAAAAATAATAATAAACGCTGACATCTTGTATTAGGGTACAGAATACGCGTCTGTTGATGTAACATGCAACACACACTCTCAAATCTTCCCCAAACAGCTTGAGTTGTTTTCAAACCTTTCCACGATGTGATCATAGGTCAGTGTGGACAGAAATGATTGTTGATGTGTTTGATGTCTGACAAGAATAAATCTAATAGTTTTCGGTGGTCAGTCAGGATGTTGTGGTAAGTCTGCCATAAAGCCGACATGCAGTCACTCAGAAAGCTAGACGTGCAGCCAGTAAGCTGCTCATTCAATAAAACAGTGGGTCACTCTCCATGCACGGTCTGCCAGCCTTATTAAGGGCCCTCAGCAGGCTGTAACCCCTGGCTGCATGCACACAGCGTGGGGAAGCTAACCTAGCAAGCTGCAGCCTCCCCACCAGAAAAAGCCACAGGCACAGCTCTGGGCCTGGCCCACATGATCAGCCATGACAACGTCTTTGCAACTAGTTAGAGGAAGGACTGGGAGGGGGATGGAGGGGGGGGGGGGGGGGGGGGGGGGTGAATCAATGCAGGATGGTGCGGGTGCATGTTTGTCTGTGAAGAATGTATGCATGCATAGATGTGCATTCGTCTGGATGTGCGTGCATCTCTGCCATCCCTCATGAATGTGTGCTTCCAGTTTTCGTGTGTGTGTGTGTGTGTGTGTGTGTGTGTGTGTGTGTGTGTGTGTGTGTGTGTGTGTGTGTGTGTGTGTGTGTGTTGTGTGTGTGTGTGTGTGTGTGTGTGTGTGTGTGTGTGTGTGTGTGTGTATGTGGCAATTAGGAGCAGGCCACTGACTGGAAGGAGCCAGGGCAGTTGAAATGCCCGGGGCCAACCAAGGGAAGGAATATTTTATAAGTCCCCTCACACGCTGTATACAAAAATACACACTAGCACACAAACTCAGACACACAAATGTGTGCAAGGAGGGAATGACGTAAAAATTAGGCTTGCTTTCGTCCCGTGTCAGCACAACGGGCGTTAGCATTAGCTAAGCAGATGTTAGCTGCTGTGCTCCTTCAGCTTTAGTGGCTCTCCTTTGAGAGGATTCCACTCTTTATGTTAATATTGTATTCCTCCTGCTTTATTACTCGTACTACTCTTGATTTGGTCTGTCTCCTGGACTTCTCAGTTCCAGTGAAAAATATTCACCAAAAATTGGAGGTTTGAGTTTTTGTCACAGTGAATCAAACAGCTAATTTGACCAACTAGAATTTAACGGAGGATTGGGATTGACGTTATTCATGTCCTCAATCTGCACATTTTCCTTGGAGTGAGTGTAATTTAGGCTTCCGCTCCTGTTCTTCATCGTCTCCCTGTATCACTCTCTTCTCAAGCGCACTCTGACATTATCATGTAGTATCTAGGCTAATCTGTTATGATCTGATTATGAACCATCTCTTGGCACAAGAGCGACACTGGTACTACCTGCCCCCTAAACATGGGCTCACGTGCCATTTTGAGGTGTCAGCCATTTTTCTGCTGCCTGGCGGATTAACAGCCACCAACTCGCCGGTCATTCATCTGCAAACAGCGATATCGTTGGACACATCGCTTCTAGTGAAGAATGGTGACATTTAGCTTCCTAATATATTTTCCTTTCTCTGAAGCACTGCTGTGATGGTTAAACAGCTTTTATGAATATTAGCCTTGTACCAGATGTCACGAGTGGGATCCTGTTTGAGGAGTCGTTCACAGATGGCTAAACGTTTTTCAAGGACACTGAGAGATGTT